AGCCAGACCACTTTCATTTTTATAGCAAAAATGTTTACAAATCTAATGAAAACTAAACCGACTCCAGCTGATTAAATCAGAGTAAACTAAGCTAAGAGAGTCTAGACAGGTCACATCAAAGTAATGAAAAAGGAGACGTCAGAGTGAAATAACGGATATTTAAGAAAACAGTTTACCCGGAGTGTCTGAAAGTCGCCCAAGATTAAAATGTATCATAATTTTTAGCAATATTTTACACCTAAAGGTTAAAAAGCTGCAGGATTTTTGGACAAAGCAGCCCTTTTTTTTTCTCAGTTTCTCTTATATGCTGAATAAATTCTTGTAGATTTAGTCTCTCTGAATTATTCAACAGGAAACTACAGACATGCTGTAATTTCGTAAATAATTAGAGCTTAAGCAGTAAAGATTTTACTACACTGACCTAATTTATCAATTCCTGTTTTTGTTTTTTATTCAATATTTAATTATCCCTTTTCTCCAAGTTAATAATCAGCACTGAGGAGGACGACAGGTTCACTCACAGAGAAGCACTCAGAAAACCAGCGCAGCTTCCTGGCCCTGGCGTTCCCGCTCAGTTTATCCAGCTCCTGCTTGATGTCTCTGGACACCTTCCCACAGAGTAGCGGCGGCGAGCCGGGGACCATCGCCTTGTCTGTGGAGACAGATGGCCCGCCGGGTCAAATCGGCCTCTGGGACCCAGCTCAGCAGATTCGAGGTCCGCTCTCACCTGTGTTTCCGATTATCTTCTCCCACGGCTGCTCAGTCAGGATGTTCAGCAGCAGAGGAGAGATGAGGGGCGTGAGGGACCACAGCCTGACCGTGCTGTCCCTGCTGCAGCTGGCCATGGTGAAGGGACGGCTCTGGTGGCACGTCAAACCTTCTCACACACAGACACACATGAAGGGCTTAGAGAGCCTGATGAAGAATGAGAGCTGGTGGAGACGAAGCGCGCCGAGCTAACAGACAGGAGAAAACACAGCTGTCCGTCTCACCATAGACATCGGCTCCGTGGTCGTAGACCGTATCGAGACACGTCCCGTCTCTGGTGTCCCACACTCTGATGGTGTAATCCCAGGAACCTGCAGAACATTTCAAAATTCAACAAAAGGTCTGACACCAAACATGGAGGGCTACAAGTAGGAAGGAAGGAAGGTAGGAAGGAAGGAAGTTTGCTTTTATTATATTTTATTTGTCAGAACTAAACTTGTAGAAGCATCAAAAATGAAGCAGCGCACGTGTTTTTGCTGCTCTTGCTGCGTTTGGTGTGAACGTAGCATTATAGCCGTACATGTTTGAGCCCTTGCCTCGCAACGCTGCCAGCTCTGTTAGCTCTACGCCTGCTGAAGACACAGACGTCCATCCCTGTAAACACTGGGACGGAACTCAATGGGAAAGGAAATGATTCTTATTTCTTATTTCAACCATTACGTATATTAGTTGCGACATATGAATCAAGATGCTATGACCGAAAAAAATTGACACATGACCGTTGATATATGATTGGCGAAAATGTAGGTGTACAAGCTGACATATAGCTAACTGCCCTGCATAAGATAACGGGGAAAAAAAACACCGATTTTTTTTAGATAGAAATTTTCTAACTTTTGGGACAATACCGTCTGATAAAGATTACATTTATATACATGTTTAAGCCAGAATGATTTGACATTTAAATATGACTTCCCTATGACTTTAACCCCACACTGCTCCCCGGGCGCCGCACAATGGCAGCCCACTGCTCCCCAAGGGTGTGTGTGAAATGAAGCGGTCAATTTCTGTGCTCTGTACTTCTGATAATAAAGTTGAATTCTATTCTACCTTTAGCGTTTTTGTCTCACGCAGACAAAATTAGGAAAATTTTGAGGTGGTTGAATGTTTTTGCAAAGCAAAAAGGCTAAATTCTCAATGGAACCTAACGACCCACTCATTGGTTTCCATTTACATGCTTCCCAGAAATACAAGGCCTTGTCTATATAAAGACTCAAACTTACTGCGGATCCAGACATTTGAATTGGGAAAGCTTCCTGAAAAGGTGGCGCAACATCTTCAAATCTTGGAAACCAAGTCCAGCGGATTTTTTTTTTTACTTCTACGGAATGACTAGGACCTGGGTGACTGAGAATCTTCATCATCATAAGACTAAATTCTCCCAGACATGCTGGTCACAGAAGAATGAATAAAAACCAGCGATTGGTTTTGGGTTCTGTACCTGAGATGAGGAGGTGAGGAACCTCGGTGTTCCACATCAGGCCTCGGACCGGAGCTGTGTGACCGCTCAGCACGTTGATACAAGCATCCTGAGTGTAGTCCCAGATCCTGACCGTGCTGCTCCAATAAACAAACTTTAAAACCGTAGAAACATAAAATAAACT